CGGATGGCTAAACGAAAAAGCCAAAAACAAAGAATCTCCGGCAAGACCGGATGGCTAAACAAGAAAGGCCAAAAACAAGGAATCCCCGGCAAGACCGGATGGCTAAACAAGAAAAGCCAAAAACAAAGAATCCTCGGTAAAACCGGACGACTAACAGAAAAGTCAAATCAATCATTCCCCACGGAATAGGCGCATGATCAAAGATAGTAAGCCGCCAACACTTCTAAAAAAAAAATTCGATAAGGATTTTTTGAGAACATCTCAAAAAGCCCTATAGAATAGGGTTCACACCAAGTGGGGTGTAAAAAACCACTAGAGTCTGTCAAGATGCAGATTCGTACCAGGTGGGGGTAGGTACCCACAAGAGTCTGTCAAGATGCAGATTCGCACCAAGTGGGGGTGTAAAAACCACTAGAGTCTGTCAAGATGCATATTCACACCAAGTGGGGGTGTAAAAACCACTAGAGTCTGTCAAGATGCAGATTCGTACAAGGGGGGGGGGGGTAGGTACCCACAAGAGTCTGTCAAGATGCAGATTCGCACCAAGTGGGGGTGTAAAAACCACTAGAGTCTGTCAAGATGCAGATTCGGACCAGGTGGGGGTAGGTACCCATCAGAATTTGTCAAAATGCAAATTCGGACCAGGTAGGGGTAGGTACCCATCAGAATTTGTCAAAATGCAAATTCGGACCAGGTGGGGGTTGGTACCCATCAGAATCTGTCAAAATGCAGATTCGGACCAGGTGGGGGTAGGTACCCACCAAAGCCTTATAAAATAAGGTTTATATCAGATGAGGGTAGGTACTCATCAGAATCTAGCAAAATGCAGATTCGTACCGGGTGGGGGTAGGTACCCACCAGAACCTTATAAAATAAGGTTTATACCGGATGAGGGTAGGTACTCATCAGAATCTAGTAAAAATACAGATTCGTACCAGGTGGGGGTAGGTACCCACCAAAGCCTTATAAAATAAGGTTTATACCAGATGAGGGTAGGTACTCATCAGAATCTAGCAAAATGCAGATTCGTACCGGGTGGGGGTAGGTACCCACCAGAACCTTATAAAATAAGGTTTATACCGGATGAGGGTAGGTACTCATCAGAATCTAGTAGAAATACAGATTCGTACCAAGTGGGGGTAGGTACCCACCAAAGCCTTATAAAATAAGGTTTATACCAGATGAGGGTAGGTACTCATCAGAATCTAGCAAAATGCAGATTTGTACCGGGTGGGGGTAGGTACCCACCAGAACCTTATAAAATAAGGTTTATACCGGATGAGGGTAGGTACTCATCAGAATCTAGTAAAAATACAGATTCGTACCAGGTGGGGGTAGGTACCCACCAAAGCCTTACAAAATAAGGTTTATACCATATGAGGGTAGGTACTCATCAGAATCCAGCAAAACACAGATTCATACCAGGTGGGGGTAGGTACCCACCAGAGCCTTATAAAATAAGGTTTGTACCGGATGAGGGTATGTACTCATCAAAACTTAGCAGAATGCATCAGGTGGAGTAGAATACTCGCTTGAGCATTACAAAAATGGGTTGCAAAGACTTTACTTCTATTAGAGGACAGTTCAGTGTTGAGCACCTCGGAAGTAAGTACCCACAAGAGTTTAGCAAAACGCGAACTCATACCGGGTGAGGGTAGGTACTCACCAAAACCTTGCAAAACGAGGTTTATACCTAGTGGGGGTAGGTACAACCCACAAGAGTCTAGCAAAATGCAGACTCGTACCGGGTGAGGGTAAGTACTCACCAGAGCCCTACAAAGTAAGGTTCAAACCAGATAGGGGTTGGTACCTATCAAAAATATTTATCATCCGGAGGATCAGCAAAGCAGCATCGGAAGGATAACCAGGCAAAAGGGTTAACTCCTTCCCCTACCAACTAATTTTGTCGGCATATTAAGCCAACATATTAGCCAGGCAGGTGAAGGGGGGGCAGCTGTAGACCCCTAATTTTGCCCGGTCTCTCAATAAAGGCTGAGAAGATTTCATATAACAAGACAAAGCTCGCTCGGCCTCTCAATAATAAAGGCTAAAGAGACTTCTTATAACAAGATAAAGCTCGCCCGGCATCTCAAAAGGCCAAAGAAGACTTCCTATATGAAGATAAAGCTTCAACGGGCATCTATCGGCATCAACCGACGTTCGAATGAAGAAAGGAAAGCTTCCCAGGGGTCCCAGAACACAAAAGCTGGCCAAAACAGGTCGAGACGGCCGTCCCAAGGTCGAGACGACCGTCCCAACCTTCCCTGGCCAAGTGGGACGGCCGTCCCAAGTGGGACTGCCAGTGCCAGCTCCCCAGGTGGTCTCAGTATATGTAAATCATGCAGTTGGGACGGCCGTCCCAACCCAGACGACCGTCTTAACCCAGACGCGCGTCCCAAGTGTGCAGGCAGCGAAAACTATAAATAGGAAACTCATTTGCCACTGTTTCAGACACTAGACAACTCCTAGTACTTGTCTATCCTCTTCCCTCTTCGAATGAACTCTCTGATTGCCTTAATAAGGTAACAATCAGTTAAGGAATCATATTCCAGCATTCGATTCTTCTGTAAAAGTTTAGTCGAGTCGATCTTGTATTCGGAGAGGAGAGTCTTTGTAGAGTGAAGGATTCCCAAAACGCATCCTCACTATTAAGGATTCGCAATACAAAGCTTGCTACGGAGGTTCTGTTTAATTCTCTTCTCTTTTTCTGCTTTATTTATTGCTTTATGTATGCAATGTAAAATAAAGTTATGTAGATAGCCATTTTTAACATTATACAATAAAATAGGGTAATCGTGTAATTTCTCATAATCTTTACTTAAATGAATTAATCCGTCATAGGGAACCCGAAAGGGGCGTTATGGGGTGCTAACACCTTCCCCACACGTAACTAACTTCCTTACCTAACTCTGGTTATAATGGTCAAGTTTGGTTTTTATTAAAATCAACGCCTTTTTATCCTTTTCCAATGTTTACGGTCAAAACATTGGTGGCGACTCCAAAAGAACCCCTTTTCAAAAACCTTGCTTTTATTAGAGGATAGTTCAGTTGTTGAGCACCTCGGAAGCAATGAACATAATTATAACAAAAAACGCGAGTCTAAACCATCTTTTCGCGACCGCTCGCATAAACCTTTGAGATGTCCCTGGACGTCGGAACGGACGGCGGCGACAATAGCCACGCAGTTCCGACAGAAGAGATAAAAGACTATATAAAAATAAAAAATCCTAAATAAATACCAAAAAAAAACAAAGCATTTACAAATTTTTTTGACAAAGTCGTTTCATCCATATTACATCATATCATGAGTAAATAAATACCAAGAGAGAAAATAAAAGGTGAGAGCACATTTAGCATCATTTAAACAGAAACTCTCGTACATAAGCATATTCATTTAGTTCAACACTCAACATGCATTAATAAAGTTCCTTTCGGGCATTCTAGAAAGTGGTTGGTCCTCTCCCCATCCGAACTCGCGCACAAAAGGCCAGAGCAATGGAGAACCTGGAGGAACAAAATCGCAAGCTCACTGCGGAGGTCAATACCCTCCGCGAGCAAGTAGCCCAACTGATGGAGGTTGTGCGCCAGGGCCAAAACAAAGGCGAGGCCCAAACGGAACACGCCTCTCGCCATGAAGAAGAGGAAGAAGAAGAATACTTCTTCGATGGAAAGGATGTTAAGACTGCACGCATCCTCACCCCGGAGGTGTCCAAGCAACAAATCTCCACCCTAGAGGAAAGACTGAAGGCGGTAGAGGGACACAACTTCGACGTCAAGGAGGTGGCGGACATGTGCCTGGTGAAGAATATCCACTTCCCTCCCAAATTCAAAATCCCGGACTTTCCCAAGTATGCCGGGATGACCTTCCCAAAGAACCATCTTACGATGTATTGTCGTAAGATGGCCGCACACGCCGAGAATGAGAAACTCCGATCCACTTGCTTCCGGGAGAGTCTAGTGGACACGGCTCTCAATTGGTACATGCGAGCTGGAAAGAGGGCAGGTCCGAAGCCGGAAACAAGCGGCCGACGCTTTTCTCCGTTATTCCGATACAACATTGATCGACCCCCGACAGGTCGGATCTCGGGACTCGAGCAAAAGGAACGACGAACCTTTTAAAGCATACGCCCAGAGATGGAGGGAAATGGCCGCCCAAATAGAACCTCCTTTGACGGATAAGGAGACAGTGGCTATGTTCATAGATTCACTGACTGGAGCATACTACGACAAGACAATAGCCAGTACCTCCAACCTTTTTTCAAACATAGTCACTGTGGGTGAAAGAGTAGAGCAGGGACTGAGGAGCGGGAAGATAGCACAGTCTTCCCAAGCTGGTGTCTCCTTCAGAAAGCCTGCTGGAAAGAAGAAGGATGAGGCCTTGCATGCGATCAACTTCGCCACTCCTTTTTCTACCCCACAAACAACTAGGCAGCTTCGTAAGAAAGAGAGGAAATTCACTTCAATCTCCACTTCCTATGGAAAGCTGCTGCCACAGTTGTTGGAGGCCAATCTCTTAACCTGTGTTCCTCCCAAAAAGCAGATGGAGCCTCCCTACCCCGAGTGGTATAAACCGAACGAGAAATATGATTACCACTCGGGCTCGCTCGGACACTCGACAGAAAACTGCTTGACCCTTAAATATCGGGTCCAAGAGTTAATAGACGCCGGGTGGATAACCTTTGATACCTCTACTCCCGATGTCGATGTCAAACCCTTATCGAAGCCAGAGTAGCAAAGAGGGAGGATTGAGAGGATCGGCCCTTAGGGTGTTTTCTTTTTTTAAGACCTATAAAAATTTTAACATCTCATTATGACTTATAATTAAAACTTACAATAATAGGAATTTCAACTGTACTGTATTAAACTCTAATAAAAGATACTTATTCATATTTCCAACAAATACAAACAAACCACAAGTTGAGGATAAATTAACAAATGAAATGTGGGTGCATTATTACACAACAAACAAGAGCCCTAGTATGAGGTGCATGCAAAGCCTTTTAGTATAGGATTTGTTGAAGAGCATTTGTGGTTTGCAACTTGTTATACACGGCATGCCAACCAGCTTGCGTTGGATGAAAAGTATCCCAAAAGAAAGCAGATTTGGGATGATCACAGACCTTGTATTTCTTAACACTGTTTTCATCTACACTGCCACAAGAATATTGGCTACTTATCCCCACGCAACAAGGCCTGAGCTCGTCCTTGATGTTACTGGTAGATGGGTGGTTCAGCACTGACATGAAACTATCGAAAAGGTCAAGAATTATGAAGGTGGAGTGGACCTTGGTTTGTTGGTTCAACTTGGTCACAGTTTGGTTCAGTAGAGGTTGTTGTGGAGAACTACGAGGTCGTTGAAGGTACTGTTACATTGTTGAAATGAAGATGGGGCTGTGGTTCCAGGAAGACATCCAAGGGGCTGTAGACCATCCACAACAATTTTCTTCACTCCCAGACTTTGGATGCGAAGCAAGTTGGTGGCTGTTTGATTAACCACTGAGGCGATGAACGAGGGAAAACCCTATATGCATTCAGTGAGAAAAATGAAATAGAATATTTTAGCACATTAGTTGTCGTTGCATAAGAATAAAAGATAAAATAGTTGTGTAGGAAAGAACAAATAGATCACAAAAATAGTATTGTTTTCAATAATGAACAAACATTCTAACGGTGATATAACGAATTGATTAAATTTGGATCTTGCGCATAGCATTTTTGGTAGGATAACGAACTTTATTTTTCATTTAATGACCTGGAATTTTCAAAAGAACTAAAACATATATTTTGGTAAAGGAGAAGCAGTTATTGTTGGAATGGAAAGCTACTGAGAATTCAGTCAGGGTAGGGACAGATTGTGTTGGCATGTATGTATCAGTCAGTTATATTAAATAGGGTTAGTTTTGAAGTTCTTTTTTGGTTTGATATTGCTAATGAGTACAAAAGACGAATTTAGCTGGTATTCATCTAATTGTAACTATAATGTGTATATTTGAAGGTCTTATGCAGTGGTGGAATTTTTTTAGTAGGAGGGTATGATTTTTTTTTTTTTAATTTTTTAACTTATCTTAATATTTATTTGAAGATTTTAGTCATATTATTAAATATATTTATTTATATATTTATAAATTTAATCTTTTATTTTTTATATTTTATATTTATTTATTAATAATATATTATTTAAAAAGAGTTTTGTTTGTTTGTAAAAGGATTTCTACCTTTACTTTATTTAATATATATTATAAAGACTAAATACACGTGTTCACAACACAGACCCACCGTTTGATTTTTGGGACTTCTATGTGTGTTTAAATAAGCTTTTGCAAAGTGTTTCAAACGGAAAAGACATGCTAACGTGATTAGATGCAGCTTTAGGTAACTTTTGCGAAAGGCTACACTCATTTTTTTTTTTTTTTTTTTTTTACTCTTCTGAGAAAGATTATGAAGTATGGAATAACTTAACTTCAAATTTAATTTTAACCAAATTAATTTACAGAATAAAAAACAATTAAAAACCGAAGTGGACTCATTTCATTGTAATCGACAAAAACATGGAGTACTGGCAACCAGAAAAGTAGATGAATATTGAACTAAGTTTACCTCAATAGAGCCATTTGTCGCCAAATAGAAATTGTAATCATTTCCTGCGACAGACATCAGGGCCACCGATTCGCTGAGATCTGAAGTGGTGTACACATTTTCTTTGATCAACTGCTGGAAGAAATCGATTTGGATTGTCATGTTTGGGTAGTTGGAGGATGTGTCAAACACACCAGTACCACCATATGCAAAATTCATCCCATATTTCAGTTTTTGTGGCATGAATTTCCTAAATTTGTAAGGAACAGGCGATTTGAGCCCCAAAAACTTTGCTGCACCCACACAGTTTCGTAATTAATCAAGTGTTGCAAGATGAAATGCATTACTTGTACTAGCGATACCAAAAAATGAGCGAGATCAATCAAGTGTTGCAATATGGCATCATATTGGGTACAAACCAAAAAAAAAAAAATACCGAGTCATAGAAACAGATAAAATATAGTATTATTTTAATTTGTCATCACTTTTAATCTGTTCTTATCATTTAACAATTTTTTAATAAATAAATGAATGAAAAATGTGATACATACATAACCTAACGATTACTTTTGCTTTTATACGGACAAAGCTGTAGCTGTCCCGCTAGAACAGTGCTAGTGGCGGGCGATAAAAGCTCCTAGAATGAAGAAAAATATTTATGTTCAGACAAGGTTATATTTTATATGAATAAAAAGTTAGGAGAAGACTCATTCTAATGAAAGAATGAAGAATAGTAGTACTTTTTTTGTTTTCAAAAAATACTAGCTATACATTTTAGTAATATTTCAAAAATTAGATTGGTAATTGAAATATAAGTTTACGACTTAAAAGGTTTAATTGAGATTTAATAGATTTAATAAAATAATATTTTAATAATATAATAAATTTGTAAATATTAATATTTTTTATAAAAAAGAATAAAAATTATTATCATAATTATTATATGAAAAATATAATTTAGAAAATATAATATTAATAATAACTAAAGTAAGAAGAAAATATTATAAAATAATTATTACTTAAAATTTACATAATTAATATATAAGATAAAAATATTAAAATATATATTTTTTATAAAAAAGTTATATCAAAATAATTTTTTTTATTTTTTTATTATAATAGATTCATCCAAAAATTCAATTAATAATTTTATATTAATTTTTTTCTATTTTATACCAATTTAATTAAAATTTATTTGAAAATAACATATTAACTTCTAGATAATTACATATTAAAGTAATTAAATCGACCTATCAATTCAGTTTTAAAAATAGTATATTTTAGAGATGATTTATAATAGATAATAAAAATGAAATATGCTATCATATTTATGTTGGAATTTAAAAATGGTTAAAAACTACTAAATAGTGCACTCAAAAATCGTTATTACGATATTTTGGAAAAGTAAAATCATAAATATTTACGTTTTAGCTTTATAAATAAAAAAATATCATATTATTTTTTACCAATGAATGACAAACAGAGTTGACAAAATGAATTAATTTGAGATTGACTCATCATATATTATAATAAAATTATGATAAAAAGGAGGTAGCTCAATCTGATCACTTTCTAATGAGAAAAAAATTGATTTAATTGGATAAAATAAGTTGATATACTTATATATATATCTTAATTTTATTTTTAAAATCATAAAATAGATAATTAATTAGTTTGAGTAATGAAAAAATTTTACAATAAAATTTATACTTACACATTGATAAGATTAGATTATTAATTTAATAAAAAATATTTATTAAAAGATCAGATTCATATTAATTTATAATTAAAAAAATTAAATTTTTAATCCAACCTGCGTGCGTGGGAATGGACTCATAGGATTATAGATAACTCGTACCGATAAACAATAAAACTCGTTATTATATATATTTTTTCTTTTAATTTCCTCGTAAAAGAATGCGATGTAAGAAGACTAGGTATAGGTACGTTAAACATGATTGTAAAAATGGGCATTGTCTTACAAATACGACAGAACCAACACAATAATGTAACTTTGGTGTTTTTTAATTCCATTCAATAATGCAGCATTTCAGTTGCTCTGAACAAAGTTAAACAGATATATCCACAAATCTTATATAGATAAGAGCACAAGAAAGATAAAGTGGCAAGCCAGCGAAGAAACGAACCCCACCCTTTTGTTAAACTACAATCAATAGTGTCACCACGCTGTGCATATTTATTCATCAATTCTCATTTTTCTTACATTAAATTTTTATTATTATACTATAACAATATTATTTCCTACCACGTCACGAAAATTATATTTATTAATTTTTATCTTTTCTTCTTGTATCTCTCCGAAAGCAACTTTAGAGGTATAGACACGAAAGCATTTTGCTTAGTTTATTATACAAAGGATTGATCAAAGCATCTTAATTGGAAACGCGTAGCTTTTCTTGCAAAAGAGAAGGAAAGTTAATAAAATGAGGGAAAAAGCATGCACTCTCCGACCGTTCCAATTTCTTGACAACATGAAGAGAGAGAAAGAGAGGGACACGTACCAATGTAGTCTGTTAGAACTCTACCGTCGGAGAATCTTCCGGCAGGTTTTCCGGGGAAAGTTATGCCGTAAGGGTTTTTCCAGGACCCAGCTTGATCTATTCTCGTGTTTCCAGTATCAACATACGAGTCACCAAAAACAAACAACTTTTTCGGGGCGTCGTCACGTTGCAACCTTGCCTCAGCATGCAATCCTATTATTTGAATTTGATTAACAAGGGAAAATAAGAGATAACAAAGGTCAATTATAGCGTCATACCAAAGATGCATGCATACCTGAAAGAAGTAGAAATGCTAGCGAAAGACGTAAGAGGGAAAGTAGTTGCTTGTGTGAGTCCATCATGAATTGCTAATGAGCTATTTCAATTCTAGTGAAGTTAAAAGGATAGAGGAAAGAAGGAACTAATGAATGTGGTTGAAAAGTTTGAGGGCTGAGAGAATAGTGAAGAAGTGTTTGTTGTTGATGATGATGAATGATGGTGGATATGGCTTTTTTTATAGTGGAAGGAGAAATACGTGGGCAACAATTGGAATTTGGGAATTTTGACATCGATCGAGAAGTCAATGATCATATTTCATCTGTCGTTGGGTTGATTGTGTAAAACACGGAGAGGGTCACACAAGACTCGAATGTAAAACTGGCCCGGTCTATTTTATACCGCTCTGAACTTAGGGAAAATGTAAAATGTTATTCATTCTATTCACGTGTTTGAAAGATAGGTTTAAATTTTATTTTATTTTTGTAAATATTTCAGTTTTATTTTATTTTTTTTACATAAAGGATAATAAATTTATCATTTATAAATAGATTATAATGTAAAATTATATTAGCATATGTAACATATTTTCTTGTATCTAGGAAAAAATGTTCTTAGCGACAGCTTTTGTGATTATATTTTTTCCATTGGGATTAATTAATGATAAGGTAAATAATAATGGGTCGAAATCCAATTGATTTGACCAGGCAGGCACACGCTACGGGTGTGTATTTTATTTCTTGCGATGGCCATGGAATTTTAGAGTCAATTGAAATGGTCCATTTAGTAAAATATGTGCGCGTGAGTGGCATGATTCACTTTAAATGGGCAATTGTAAACTTCGGTTTTCATTTTGTTAAAACTTTTCTACTTTTCTAAAATTTAAAACATTTTTTTATATCCTTATGATCAATATGATTTGATAACTTATTTTTGTGTCTAATAAAAATCTACGTAATCATCATTTTGGATAACACTCAATAATTCAAAGTGAAATAGTTAATATGCTTTAGTTTAAAATAAGAAAGTTGATTAACCCAAAATATATATATATATATATATATATATATATATATATATATATATATATATATTACAATATCTCAAAAAAGTCGTTAAAATAAAACTGAACATTTGGTAAACATTAGAACAAAAATAATTTTTAATAATATTATTTAACATCGCTCATAAAGAAATAGTTAGATATTATTATATATTTTTAAATATAATATAGCTTGTAATAACGTTGAAATCACTAGTGCAAAAAAGGGTTTCTACGTCACCTAATTGTTGTAAAAATATTGGATGTAAATAAAACGCGGTGACAATTTTGTAAATAAGAGACAAAACTTTTACGTCGCAGCACTCGACGACACCACGTAAAAAGCCTCTTTTACATCGCACCTGGGTGACGCGACGTAAAAGAAAGCTTTTTACGTCGCGTGCTGGGGGGCGCGACGCAAAAAGAAAATATTATGTCCAATGGGTTTAGAGTACAAGAAGATACATGCATGTCCTAATGATTGTATATTGTACAGAAACGATTTTGCTAAATTAAAGATGTGTCCGACATGTGGTTTGCTGAGGTTCAAAAACAAAGTTGAGGAAAGTAGTGGTGAGGAAGAACTTGATGGTCCCCCTGCTAAGGTGTTATGGTATTTGCCAATTATACCTAGGTTTAAAAGATTATTTTCCATAAAAGAAGATGCAAGAAACTTGACATGGCATGCAAATGGTAGAAAATGTGATAATCTTCTTCGACATCCAGCTGATTCTCCACAATGGAAAAGGATTGATGAAACCTTTCCAGAATTTGGTGCAAACCCAAGAAACTTGAGAATTGGATTAGCTACAGATGGGATGAATCCTTATGGAAATTTAAGTAGTAAACATAGTTCATGGCCAGTTTTGTTGATAATTTACAATTTGCCTCCTTGGTTATGCATGAAGAGAAAATATATGATGTTATCTATGATTTCAGGACCTTGACAACCAGGAAATGACATAGATGTATATCTTAGTCCTTTAATTGATGATTTGAAGATGTTGTGGGAAAGAGGAGTGGATGTATTTGATTCATATCACGAAGTGAATTTCAGGTTGCGTGCAATGTTATTTTGTACTATAAATGATTTTCCAACATATGGTAATTTGAGCGGTTATAGTGTGAAAGGTCATTTAGCGTGTCCTTTATGTCAAGAAGACACAAGTTATATCCAATTGAAACATGGACAAAAAACTGCGTACAATAGGCATAGAAAGTTTCTAGTTGCTAATCATCCATATCGTAAAATGAAAAAAACATTTAATGGATGTCAAGAGAATGCGGTTGCAGCAGTACCACACAATGGTGAACAAGTATATGAGCAAGTGAAAAATATTAATATTGTGTTTGGAAAGACCCAAAAGAAATCCAATGAGAAAAACATTTGGAAGAAACAGTCTATATTCTTCAATCTTCCTTATTGGTGTAAGTTGGAAGTTAGACACTGTATAGATGTGATGCATGTTGAAAAAAATGTTTGTGATAGTATAATTGGGACATTGTTTAACATAAAAGGAAAGACAAAAGATGGAATAAAAGCAAGACAAGATTTGACAGCCATGGGTATACGTTCTGAATTACATCCACAATCAATTGGAAAACGCACTTACTTACCTCCAACTTGTCATACTCTATCAAAGAAAGAAAAGATAAGCTTTTGTGAGTGTTTACGTGAGGTCAAAGTGCCACAAGGATACTCCTCAAATGTTAAGAGTCTTGTGTCTATGCAAGAGTTGAAATTAGTTGGTTTAAAGTCTCATGATTGTCATGTGTTGATGCAACAACTTTTACCAGTGGCTATTCGAAACATCTTACCAACTTCTGTTAGAATTGCTATTACTCGGTTATGTTTGTTTTTCAACGCCATTTGTAAAAAGGTAATTGATCCAAAAAAGTTAGATGAATTAGAAAATGAAGCAATTGTAATAGTGTGCCAGTTAGAAATGTATTTTCCCCCTTCATTTTTTGATATCATGGTGCATTTGATAGTCCATTTGGTAAGGGAAATTCGGTTATGTGGTCCAATTTTTCTTAGATGGATGTATCCTGTTGAGAGATACATGAAGATCTTAAAAGGATATGTGAAGAATCGAGTACGAGTCGGAAGCTTCTATTGTGGAAAGGTACATTGCGAGAAGAAGCCATTGAGTTTTGTTTAGGATACATGTCAAAATCGGAACCAATAGGTATTCCTAAGATGAGACATGATGGAAGATGTGAAGGTAAGGGTACTCGAAATTTAAAGATTAAAAATGTTAGTCGGAAAGAAGTTGACCAAGCACATTTATACATATTTAACAACACTGATGAAGTAATCCCTTACATATCACAACACATAACTGAAATAAAGGCAACACATCCACGAATGAATGAAAAATGGGTATTGAATGAACATAACAAAAGTTTCCTTTCGTGGTTTAAAAAAAGGGTATATGTTGAGATTAATGTTTCAGAAACACTTTTGAGACTTGCTCGTGGGCTAATAGTGATGTCATTACATTTGGTGGGTATGACATTAATAATTATTGTTTCTACTCAAAATTAGAAGATGATAAAGGTAGAGTACAAAATAGTGGGGTCACAATTCAAGCTGAATCTATGCATTTTTCTAGTTCTAAAGACAAAAATCCTATCACAGCTTCTATGAGTTATTTTGGGATCATACAAGAGATATGGGAAATTGATTATGTTACTTTTAGGGTGCCTGTCTTCAAGTGTAAATGGGTTGAAGGGAATACGGGTGTGCGAACAGATGACCTAGGATTTACTTTGGTTGATTTGAGTAAAGTTGGGTATAAGGATGAACCTTTTATTTTGACATATCAAGCGAGACAAATATTTTATGTCAAGGATCCATGTAATGAGAGATGGTCAATTGTCCTTGAAGGAAGAAGCATGCAGGGAATTCATGAAGATGAGTCTCTAGATATACATGAAACACCTTCATTTTCAAGTAGACCATTTGATGACATAGTTGACAATGAAGTTGATGACATACATGCAATTCGAAGTGATCATGATGAAGGGATATGGGAAAACATACCAACATAATAGGTGTTTATCTTCACATTTTCTAGTTCTTTTTATTCAAACTTATAAAGTATGTTGACTTCATATTGTTTTGTTTTTTAGGATATGTCGGATTCCACATCTGGTACTGGTAGTGGTAGTGGCATTGGTAGGAGCGGAAGTGGAGGTAAAGGTAGATCTGTCACTCGGTTAAAGGGGTTGACAGCAAGGCGGGTAAGGCATCTGGCCCAAATGTTGCTAAGTTTAAGAGCTATTTGGGACAACTAGCTCAACACCATGTTCCGATTACTACTCCATCTTGGGATGATGTAGAGGAAACCGAGAAGAACCTTATGTGGCAGGATGTTCAGGTATTTCTATATTTGTTGAATACTTTATATATCATTATTAATTGAATTTAACATTTATTGGTCATTTCACAGCAAAATTTTGATGTTCCTAACACTGAGGTGATGAGGAAGAAGATTTTATCCTCCATTGTCATTAGATGGAGGGACTTTAAGACTTTCTTGACACGTGAGTATGTATTTGGAAAGTTTCAAGATGAATCTCCCTGTCTAAAGTATCAAATTAGTGAGGAGGATTGGTTACAGTTTTGTGCCAGCCGAATGGACCCCTCTTGGCAGGATAAAAGACGTGCTGCCCAACAACGTCAGAGGTTGAATGATGCACCCCATGTATTGTCACGAGGAGGGTATGCATTATTGGAGCAACGTCTCATGAAAGTCGAGAGAAGAGTCGGCGGGAGTTGAGTCTGCTGACCTTGCATCTCCACCCCTCGCTATGAGATGTGGAAGGCAACCCGGACAAAATCGATGGACAAATGACTTCGAGTCCGCACGAATCATTGCTCGAGAAAATCGTAATTTATAATGTCAATTTGAATTGATTCTAATGTGAAAGTTAATGTATGACTTAATTATTGTTAATGTGTTGTAGGATGATTTAGTTGAGCGAGCACCCAAGGATCATTTATTCCTCATGGTCGACAAGATATATTGGCGACGG